CACATGCTTCCTATAGCAAAAACTTCTCTTAAAGAAAAAAAAAAATGAAAGAAAGAAAAAAGTAGGGAAAATCCCAGAGGGTCAAATACTGAAGCTGGTTCAAATTCAGAATGTTAATCAGGGTGCTGAGGCTTTGGTTGTTCTGAAGGTATTAAACTCATTAGGGGTAAGCACTGAGATTTACTGTCTGTTAACATGGCCAGGAGCAAGAAAGACTTGGGGCTAAGCAAGATATAGAACTGGAATAGCATCCCCCAAATAAAGCATGAATTTTTTTTAAAGATTATGCTCTATATCAAGAGGAGGAAAAACATGTAAATGGAAAAGAGAAGCACATATTCTTATATCTCTCTGGGCTCAAGGTAGAAAACAACAAAAAACAAAAAAACACCCTTTAGCTACATACCTATCCTGACATGAGTTTGAGATTCAAATTTATATCATCTCTGTGATAAAGAACAGGTATGCTGAAAAATTAAAATTAAACTAGTTTGTCTCATTCTGTTTCTGGAAATGGAGGAGTAACTTGTTTAAATTCATTTTTAAAACTTTTTAACTGTTTCATAAATAAAAATGACAAACTTTGGACAAAATATTAAAAAGGACTATTTGGAGATACTAAAGTATGATCAAGGGAAGACATAAAATGCAGAAGAACCAATGCTTATAAGAAGAAACTTTGCATTGGCTTGGTTTCTAGATTTTATGTTTTTTTTATCTTAAGGATTACCCCTTGTCTACTTGCCACAAAGCAGCTAAAATTTAGCAACAAGTCCATTGACTTACTGGATAAGGTAGCAGAGAACGAAGTATAAGACAACGTAGGAGCTGGGTAGTGAGAGAGAATCCAGGAAAAGAGGGAGTCACAGAAGGGGCACCCTGAATGCTGTGTCTAAACTGCCCAAATCTTGGGTGCCTATTGAATTATGCACATGCCCCTGAAGACCAGCTAAGGGTAAAATAACTGAATGACTATTTCAGCTGCTGTTCATCATCAGAAAGACAGTTTAGAACCAAATTAATTACACATTAAAAGTAGTCAGACAAAATAATGCTCTTCAAGATATCGTGACAGAATTCAGAGTTTTTATAGCATTAAAAATATTCAGCATATAATCAAAAATTTCTAGACATAAAAACTAGGGTAAGATAACCCATACTTAAGATAAAATATAATTTATAGGAATCAGCCCAAAGATGTTCCAGATGTTGTAATTAGCGGACAGGAATTTTAAAGCTGTTATAAATATTCTCAAGTATGTAAAGGAAAAAATGCTCATAATGAATTAATGGATAAGGGATTCTCACCAAAAAAGTAGAAGCTAGGGGATCCAGCTGTTAGCATAATGGCTATGTCACTGGACTCCCACGTAGTCGACCACGGTTCGCGTCCCAGACCCGGTTGCTTAAAACTCACGCCGGGCACGTGTGCGTGCGTGCCCAAGATCCCGAGAGGAGAATGGAGGAGAAGGGATTGCAGCGTGACCATCCTCCCCTGGGGGGTGATTTCTCGCTTTCTGTCTCTCTGTCTCTCTCTGTCTGGCCAGTGCACGTGCCCTATAGCGAAAAAAAAAAAAAAACTCTCAAAAAAAATTAACTAACTAATGAAAGAATTAAAAAATCATAAAGTATTTTTCTGGATGAGAAGAAATAGATACATTAAATCTGACTTCATTGAAATAATCTAAACTTTTCTAATGATAAGAATATTAAATAGAAAAAGTTCCATTTCAAAAATACTTTCAAAGTTGTTATAGTAAGAAAGAATTTACATACATACACAATTTTCCATTCTATTTATTTGATTATACTGTAGCAAATGAGTGGTATAGGATTAAATTATAATTAAAGATTTAAATCAGCCATTGATATAAATTGCTCTCAAAATCAGGTTGTAAATAATTTTGTATGCCATGCGCGGGCGCCATAGGAAAAACCCCCCCAAAAAAAAAAAAAAAAAAAAGTAGAAGCTATAAAATGGAATCAAATGGAAATTCTAGACGTAAAAGTGAAATGTTGGAAATAAATTAATGATTGGTTTAAGAGAAAGTTGAAAATCCAGTGAAGAGTCAGTGATCTTGAAGATTGACAGAAATGACCTACTTTGAAAAATAGAGATGGAAAGGTAAAACAATTGAACAGAGTCCCAGTGACCTGTGTGTAATATCAGAATGTAACTGGAGCCGGGACCAGCAGTTGGTGTAATAGCTGTGTTGCGGACTCCCATGTTGTCAGCCATGATTCGTGTCCTGGACCTGATGGCTTAAACTTATGCTGGGTGCATGTGTATGCGTGCCCACGATCCTGAGAGGAGAAAGGAGGAGAAGGGATTGTGGCATTATCATCCCCCCTGGGGGGTGATCTCCTGCTTTCTGTCTCTCTGTCTCTGTCTTTTGGGTGCATATAACCTATAGCAAAAACCACTCCAAAAAAATAAAAAACAAAACAAAACAAAACAAAAAAATGTAACTGGAGCCTCAGAAAGGGAAGAGAAGAGATACAAGAGAGGATGGACTGGAAAAATATTTGAAAAACTAAAGGCCAAAATTTCTCTGAATTTATGAAATATATAAGTGTGTATTTTCAAGAAGGTCAGAAAATTCCAAGAAGATTTGATACAATTGAAACTTTACCTAGGTACATCACAATCAAACTGCTAAAATAAAATAGAAAGATTAAATCTAGAAAGTAGCTGAAGAAAAATAGCAACCATAGACAGAGAAACAGCAATACAGTGATAGCTAACATCTGGATTCAACCGGGAACAAAAGTTGATGGACTGACGCCTTTAAAATGCAGAAAGAGAAAAAGAAACGGAACATTCTATGCTCAGGAAAAATTCCTTCAAGAAAAATATAAAATAGGAATATATTTTGCTAAAAAGAAAACTAAGAGAATTCCTTGATAGCGGATTTACACTACAAAAAAATGCTCAAGGAACTTTTTCAGAACTTCAAGAAGAAATGCAGAGATGAATATGTGGGTAAACACAAAATTTTATTTAATTAGAACTTCTTTAAATACATATAACTGTATAAAGCAAAAATTTCAACATAATATTTATAATATGTTTAAAAGAATATGATTAGAACATAAAAACAGAAGAGTATAAATTGAACTATATAATTACAAGATAGTTCTATAGCTTGGGCTAGATCTTAGTATCAATGGAAGAATTTCAAGGTTAGTTTTTAAAAGTATCTTCCCTTCAGTGCCTGTATGAGTTGATGTAAGAAATGCTAGGTGCCACAGGAGATAAATCCTGACATTTCAGTGCTTAACACAATCAAGGTTTATTTTCTTCCAACATCATCGTTTGGGGTGGTTCAATTTGGCTCTCCCATATGGCTCTCCTCTTACAGTGACTCAGTAATGCTGTCTGCCTCCATCTTCCATCTCAGTAGTCTGAGGAAGGTGAGAAAATGAGAAAAGTCATATTTTTAACTGCTTTGCACCAGAAGTTGCACATTGCTTTTGATTGTATTCAACTAGAATCAGTCACAAACCCACAGCTAAATTCTTGAATTCAAGAATTATATAACTGTGCCCAAGAAACTGAAAATATCTGGTGAGCATAGAACCTTGTCTCTGCCACATGTCCTAATTAGTGGATTAAAATAAAATGAATAAAAGAGTCAGTGGTGGTATGGTGGTTAAAGTGCTGAACTCCTACATGACTGACCACAGTTAGAGTCCTGGACCTGGTGGCTTGAAAAACATGCTGGGTGCATGTGTGTGTGCATCCAAAATCTCGAGAGGAGAATGGGGAAGAAGGGACTGTGGCATGACCAACAATCACTCAAAGGGGTGATTTCTCACTTTCCCTCTGTCTCTCTCTGTCAAGCACACACGCTCTAAGGCAAAAATCTAAAAAAAAAAAAAAAAAGTTTAAGAATAAAAACACATTTAATCAATTATTTAAAAATTTACTAAAAAAAGAACTCAGAGCAGTCCTGCTGCAGAGACACAAGAAGAGAGATGTCCAGAGGACCAGAGTCCTGCTGTGTCTTAGGTCAGTCTTAGGTCAGTGAGGAACGTTTGTCAGATCCCAGTCTGGGAACTCCCTCAGCTTTCCTGCCAAACCCTGCCTAGTCTTAAACATCAGTGGGTCTATATTTCATCAGTTATGTTTAAGAATCTTTAAATTAGGACGAGCAGATGGCATAGTGATTACATCTCTGAACTCTTACATGGCTGACTATGGCTGACTACCTGGACCTGGTAGCTTGAAAATCATGCCAGGCACATGTGTGTATGTGCCCAAGATCCCAGAGACAGAATGGAGGAGAAGGGATTGTGGCATGGCCATCCCCCTCTGGGTTGATTCATTACTTTCTCTTTCATTATGTCTGTCTGTCTCTCTGGCAAGTGCACATGCCCTAGGCAAAAACCTCTTTAAAAAATTATAAGCATGTTTAAATATCTTTTTTCTTATTTTGTTTTTATCTTTTGGTTTTATTTCATGGCCTCATGGAAAAATGGAACAAAAGAAAAATAAAAATGCAACCTCATTTCTTTACCATACCACCTTACATTAGAGGTAGCAATCCGTGGCAGAAACTGGACGATGCTTTCCTGTGAGAAAACAGTTCATTAGATGATTCAAATATTTTTTCTAAGAAATATTGATTTAAGGAACCAGCAGTTGGCGTAATGGCTATGTTGCTGGTCTCCCACGTAGTTGACCGCGGTTCACGTCCTGGACCCGGTGGCTTAAAACTCACGCTGGGCATGTGTGCATGCATGCCCAAGATCCCGAGAGGAGAATGGAGGAGAAGGGATTGCAGCGTGACCATCCCTCCTGGGGGGTAATTTCTCACTTTCTGTCTCTCTGTCTCTCTCTGTCTGTCTGGCGAGTGCACGCACCCTATAGGGAAAACCTCTAAAAAAAAAAATAAAAAAGAAATATTGATTTATACAGGGTTTTCTTTGAATAGACTTTTTACTACAATCGTATTGGACTAGAAGCCTCACATGAGAACTATTTCATTTATCACTAGGCGTTAGATGAACCAGCGAAGCCTGAAAGTGCCTCCAAGGACGACACGTTAGACCTACCTATGGAGGTAAAAACAACTAACATTACTGCTTCTTTTGATATGAAATCCCAAAACTCCTTGCTAACCCAGCACCTGGTTTCAATTCTTCCAGTTGTGTTTCCCTGCACAGCTCAGGCAGCAAACTGAAGAGCTCTGTGCTACCATTGATAAGGTCTTACAGGATTCCTTGTCTATGGTAATGCCTTAGATTAGAACATGCAATTCAAACATTTGCTTTGCTTCTCTCCATTTCCCTCTGCTTTAGTATGATTCCTCACAGGCTTCTCCTTTTCTTTTCTTTCTTTCTTTTTCCTTTTAGCATTCTTCTGATTCTCCTTCAAGGTCCCCACAGATATTGTTGGGTTCTGACACAATGAAAGTATGTATATATTTAATGTAATTTATTGAACTATTTACTAGATATATGATTTTCAAACTGCAAGTTGAGGCTTAATGGTGAATAAGAAAATTAATTTAGTGTATCGTCATCCTATTTTGTCCTTTTTATATTTTTTGCTATAGTATGTGTATATGTTCACTGGAGAAAGACAGAGGAAGAGGGAAAGTAAGAAATAATTCCTTCCCCTCCATTCTCTTCTTGGGATTTTAGGTGTGCATGCACATGTGCCTTCATGTTTGCCAGGCCATTGGGTCTGGGACTCGAACTGTGGAATCAGCCATGTGGTGTCCACAAACTTAAGTACCAGGCCAGCAACCAGCATTTGTAAAACATTAACATATCAGACTCTATTCCAAGTAGTATGTAGGCTTTTTTGATATGTGCTTTCATTTATTTACATGTACACATGTAGATATGCGCATACAAGGCTGCAAAGTAAAAGCTACTTGTAACTGTGGGTCAGGGTCAAACAATTTGAAAGCCAGCGTAGTATTAGACTATGACATTGTAGTTGCCATTTTGTGGAAATGCAGGGAGAATTTGTAGCTTGTTCTCATAACATACAGAGATTCAGTATTTATGTAATTTATAGCTACTTGGAACTGCAGAAAGGGGAAATAAAGTAGTCTAAAGTAGCATTAGTCTAAGCACTTAAACAAAGGTATTATTTCTGGATTTTTTTTGTGTGTGTGCTGGCTGAATTTATTTTATTCTTTGCTTCAAAGAGACAGAAGCCTGTATATTTTAGCTTATTAGTGTACTTCTAAAATATTAATTGCTGTAATTGAGCACTTAGGTGTTTTCTTTTTATAATTTATTTTTTTTTTGTTTGAGAACTTTTTGCTCATCAGAGAGAGACAGAGAGACAGAAAGTGAGAAATATCTCCCCAAGGGAGATGCTCACTCTGCAATCCCTTTTCCATTCTCCTCTGGAGATTCTGGCACACACTAATTTACTTATTTTTGTTTGATGGGAGAAAATAATACATTACTCCACATTATTATTTCATACTTAATGTAGCTTTATTCATTCAAATTTCAAAATGCTTGTGGTTTTTTCCATTATTGATAACTGTTAGGGTTTTTGTTTTTTGTTTTTTTTTCTTTTTGGTTAGCTTTATTTTCTCTCTTGGAAGTAGTGTATTTTTCCCATTCTTTTAAAAATGTGGAATTTGTGTCTGGAGAAGTGTTTTAAATGTATAAAATTGCTCATAGCTGAAAGAGTAATCCTGATTTTCAATTGGGACATCATAGACAGATATCAATTAATAATTACATAGAAATCCAGTAATCAACTGTTGTCAATATTAAGAAAAAAATATAGTTTTAGTTTTTGCTACAGGGCATGTGCATTTGCCAGAGAGCGAGAGCGACAATCTTTCCAGGGAGGATGGCCATGCCACCCTCCTGTCTCCTCTAGTTCTGTTCTTGGGATTTTGGGTATGTACACACATGTGCCTGGAGTGATTTTTCAAGCCTCTAGGCTTAGGATTCACACTGTGCTGGTCAAGTAGGATCCAGTTCCTTAAACTCTATGCCACCTACTGGCTCAAGGAATTACCTTTTAATGAAAAAGAACACAAATGAGTAATTGTAGTTTCCATATTGGAAATTTATTTTGTTATCTTTAATCTTTTGATCTAAAACTTTTATTTGCCAAATAAATTATATGTATTTTGTAATATTTTTAATTTTTTTTGAGAGGTTTTTCACTATAGGGCGCGTGCACTTGCCAGACAGACAGAGACATAGAAACAGAAAGTGAGAAATCACCCCCCAATCCCTTCTCCTCCATTCTCCTCTCGGGATCTTGGGCACACACGCACATGCTCCTGGCATGAGTTTTAAGCCACCCGGTCCAGGACGCGAACCGCGGTTGACTACGTGGGAGTCCAGTGACATAGCCATTATGCTAACTGCTGGTTCCCAATATTTTTAATTTTATTTGTTGAGCACATAGGAAAAACCTATATTATATTAAATTTAATACAAATAGGATTTAAGAAATAATTTGTGAATAACAGTCTATACTGTTGGTTTGTTTAACACATTTAATTCTTATGATGTTTAAAAATAAAACACACACATGGCATTTGATGCCACAAAATTTAAGGCAATTTTTCATGCAATAATTATTTTTCCAGGGCTTAGTACGTGTTCGGGACTGTGAGGCACCAGGGAGACAATGTTGAGCAAGGCAGAGTAATCTCACAGGCATACTTTGGACAGAGTGATCAAGAAGTTCCAACTGAGACCCAAAGATGCAAAGGAGTCAGCCACAGAAACATCAGGGATAATAGCTTTTAGGCAGAGGAGTAGATGTGCGTAAGTTTCCTGAAGCAAGAAAGAGCTTAGTGTATGAAGGTCAAGATAAAAGCCAATGTGCTTTCAGTATAGTCAATCAGAGATGAACAGTGCAAAATGAGATGGAGAAGGCAGGTTGTGGGTTGCTGTGTAAAAGATTATTAGTCATGGCATAAAGCTTAGATTTTGAGGAAAATGGGGAGACGTACATGGTGGAAATAATGTCAAATTTACAATGATAAGTATGGCTGCTGTGAGGAGGCCACTGAGATCAGGGAGACAGTGATGGTAGCCTGGATAGGGTGAATTTAGAGGAGCTAGAGAGAGCACAGAAGTTAGAGGATCCATTGGGGTTTGGATGTGAGAAGTGAAGGAGAGAAGAGTCGTTAATGAGCCGCACATGGCCAGCAGTGAAGGAGCTGCAGTGCTAGACTGGCTTTGGACAGGATGAGTCTGGGGTGTGTATCTAGGAAGCCCAGACCTGTGTGTCTGGGGCTAGTGGGAGACATCTAGGGATCCCTGGCACACGGATGTCATGCGTGGCCTGTGCAGAATTCTACGGAACACAGCATCACTGGCTCAACAGAGGAGGTGGAGGAGTTAGCACAGGAGAAGAAGAGGTGGTGATGTTAAGAGAAAAAACAGGGCTGTGTCATGGTAATTAGAGGGGAGTTTAATGGAGATATACTATGTTGCTGCCAAAAGGAAGAGAAAAATAAAACTGCAGAAGTGTTTATTAGATTTGAATTATACACTTCCAAACTATATTGCTGTTCCTTATAGGGTGCTGTTCATTCTCACTATTTTTTTTTTTGCTAGTATTTGAGGGGATTTTTTTTTTTTTTCACCAAGTTTACTACATGTTTGGTTTATCTGATTAAACATGCATAATACATCTGAGGGCAACTACAACAAAGCACAAAAAGTACAAAAATTATAAAGAACAAATTCATACAATAGATATGGGTTCTACATAGAAACCTTTCATGGATATTAGTCATTTTGACATTTTTTTCCCAATTTTTTTATTTTTAATTTCATTTTCTTTTATACAGTCAATCACATTATTTAGTTCACAAAGTGAATATTTTAACATGTGAACATTTCTCTCTAGTCCAATTGACTAAACTATAATATATCTTTAACAGAAATTGGCACCTTTCTTTGTCCCATTACTGCTTTTCCGCCCCATTTTTCTTCTAATTGTTCTTCCTCAAACCCTACTCTTTTGCAAACACTATATCTATATTTACATCCATTTACTGTGTTTTTATATCTTTTAGTCAATCATTTTCAGTCACAGAGTGCAGACACTCGGTATATATTAGGTGGGGAATACAATGCCTCTCCTTCATAGCATGGCTTGCTTCACTCAGCAGTAAATCTTCCATATTCCTCCACTTTCTGTTAAAAGCCATTTTTTAAAACCCTTTTTTTTTTTTTTTTTTTTTTTTTTTTTTTATAGCTGAATAATATTCCACAGAGTGTATGTGCCATAGTTTTTTGATCCATTCATCTGTTCGTGGGCATTTGGGTTGGTTCCAAGTCTTGGCAATTGTGAATATGCCACAATAAACATGGATGTGCAAGCACTTTTCCTATTAAGAATTCTGTCCTTTGGGTAGATACCAAGGAGTGGGATTGCTGGATCATATGGTAGTTCTATCTGTAGATTTTTGAGGAATCTCCAAATTGTTCTCCACAGTGGCTGGACCAATTTACATTCCCAGGAGATTTCAAAATGTTTGTGGAAAAAATGATTAAAATACAAGTTTATTTTGCTGAAAAACATTTTTGAAATTCATGTGTAGTTTTTCTATAATATGTGTTTTCCATGAACTTTTTAAGAGGACTCAAATGTAATCTTTCTTTAAATTTGCAGATTTTCTTGCTTCTGAAAATATTGGCCTTATGATTTTTAATTGTTGCCTAGATGTATCTATTTGTACTGATTAATTTATTTAATTTTTAAAATATTTTTGAACCCTCTTGTCTAATTCTCTTTAGAACATTCACATTATTTTAATTCTTGTTACATTGGGGCTAATTTTTGCTGTCTTCACATTTTGTATTTAAAAATATTTTCTTTTTTTTTTTTTCTTTCATCTTTCTTGCTTTCCTTTGGATAACTTGGCACTTATTGGTTTGAAAATTTTGAAAATTTTACTTAATGTTTCCAGTAGTTACACATACATAAAACAATATTATGTCAATTTTAGTATCAATTTTAAAGCTTATAAATGTCTTTTATAAAAATTATGTAAATATTATAGCACTGTTCACTTTCCACTTGTTGCATATTAAGCTACATGCAACATACACACACATATAACTTGTCAGTACTAGGGCCAATGGATGACATGGTATTTAAAGTGCTGAATTCCCACATGGCTAACTGCTGTTTGAATCCTGGAACTGGTGGCTTGAAAATCATGCTAGGCATATATGCATGTGTGCCTAAACCCAAGAGGAGAATGGAGGAGAAGGGACTGTGGTGTGGCCATATCTCCGAGGGGTGATTTCTCACTTTCCCTCTAAGTGTCTCTCTCTCTCTGGTGAGCACACACAACCTATGGCAAGGACCTTAAAATAATAATAATGATTTGTTAGTACTTTTATAACTGTTATGCCTAAGTTTTTATAGTTATGTTTTTTATTGATCTCTTTATTTAGAC